CATGGGCGGCCCTCCTGCTACCTTCCCCTCCCGCTTCTTCTTCTCCTCCTCCTCCTTCTCCTCCTCTCCTCCCTCCTCCTGCCCCTCCTCCTCCTCCTCCTCCTCCTCCTCCTCCTCCTCCTCCTCCTCCTCCTCCCTCCTCCTCCTCCTCCTCCCTCCTCCTCCTCTCCTCCTCTCCTCCCTCCTCCTCCTCCTCCCCTCCTCCTCCCTCCTCCTCCTCCTCCTCCTCCTCCTCCTCTCCTCCTCCTCCCCTCCTCCTCCTCCTCCCTCCTCCTCCTCCTCCTCCTCCTCCTCCTCCTCCTCCTCCTCCTCCTCCTTCTGCCCCTCCTCCTCATCCTCCACCTCCTCCATCCCTCATGCCGACAGACCTCTTCCCGTCCCTCATTCGAGTCGTGGGGCGTTCTCACTCGGGCCTGTTCCATGACTGGGAGCGCAGTGCCAAGCGAGACTATGATTTCGGAGGCCCTGGCAGGGGCTCCGAGGATGCCGCTTGGCGCTTGGCACCAAATGGTGCACGATGAGGGGACTGGGGAGGGGGAGGTGTCGGCGAGGGGGGTCCTGGACTTGCCTCGGGCTTTCGAACATGTCACCATGGCGGTGCTGTGGACGGTCGCTCCGCTTTGCGATTTTCCCGCCAAGCTAGTCAAGCTCATGAGCAGTGTGTATGCATCCACTAGGCTTGTGGCGTTTCGGGGCGTCCTCTCTCGGGGCACGGTGCAAACTTTTTCAGCTGTCGTGGCGGGCTCGATCGGCGACACGCGCGCTTTGAAGATGGTCGCGCTTCAGGTCGCCGATGCTATGCATAGGTTTTGTGGCGCTCGCATACGTATGAATCTCGTTGTGGACGACCTCCACGTACAAGTGCGAGGCGCGCTCGCCCGTCTCGCTATCCTCAGTGCTGCTGTTATTCTTTACATCCAGCAGGTCGAGGGCACCTGGGGCATCCTGGTCTTCAGGGCCTCCGCCCTGGGGATCGCGGCAAAGGCTACGTTCTCGCCGAGCAGGTCCCGGCTCGACAACGATGTGCCGGATGGGCCAAGAGCTTGGGTCTGGCGGTCAATACCACCAGTACCCAGTTGGGGGTAGATCGCGCTAGAGGTGCGCCCGTGAGGACTCGAGCCAAAATGTGGCAGCGTTTTCACTACGCCCAGAAGCGCCGCCGAAAATGTTAAGCCCTCTCCAAGCAAGGGGCCCGCCTTGCCCGAGTGGTGAGACACTACGGGTCTAGCTGTTTGGGGGTCTCTCCTGTTTCCCTAGAGCGCATGCGTGTCATGGCCTCGGGCAGCCTTTGCGGAAATGCAACTGGCAGGGACCGCGTGCTGCGTCTCTGGACCCACCAGGCGGATTCAGCAGCCGAGGCCTCGCAGAGGCCTATAGCAATGTGGGATTCGCAGGTCTGGCAAGGCAACCATGCTGGAGACATGCCCCGCGCGTGGCGACGGGCATGGGGTGATTTGCAGCTGTGCAAGATACGGTGGGGGCATTCGATAAGGAACGTGCCCAGCGGGTTCAGACCCTGGAGGGTTCCTTATCTGATGAGGGTGGCGGTGATATCCATGGCCAATCCACGATTGGCTTTCCACTGGCTTCCAGACCCTGGACTCCTTATCGAAGGTTTCCTTATCCAATGCCGCCGCCGCAGTACGCGCGACCGTCCACGGACCCAGGTGCGGGGGCCAGCTTCGGCCTGCTATTTAACCCTTCAGCGGCTGGGGTGGATGTGGCCCAGCTGGCGTGCCATATACCTGCACGCGGGGGAATTCGTTGATCTGGGACGAGCCCTTCACAGTACCATACGCAAGTATATACACCTCCGCCTGGAGGATCAGGAGCTCACGCATAGGGCTCCCCAGCGTGGCATGCCGTTTCTCAAGCCTTTTCTCGAGCCCTGCAGGGCCGCACTTCGATCCAAGAGAGATGGGCGAGGTCAGCGGCGGGCGGCCATGATGGCCTCCTTGGGCGGAGAGTTCTGGACCCGGGAAAAGGTTTGGCGAGCGGGACGCTCCGAAGACCGCACCTGCCGGCGTTGTGGGCACGAGGTGCGCAACCAGCACCACCAGGTTTTGTAAGTGCCCTGCTTTCAGCGACCAGCGTAAGGCTGCTGGCGATGAGTTTCCAGCCATCGTCCGTCGTGCTCAAGCGTCTCTCCCTACCTCAGTGGCCGTTTGGGCCATGCGGTAGGGGTTGTGACACAATGTGTGCAAGTCTAGCCCGATACGTTTTGAGGGCAATTCGTATCAGTCGCGTCTCCTAAGCACTGGCGAAAAGCCGGCCTTAGGGGAGCTAACCTACTCACGCGCCCACGCCCAAGGAACAAAAAAAACGTCTCTCCCTACCTCGTTCCTCTTTTCCAGGGCCCTCACGGAGCAGCACCCGCTGGGCGACCCACTCCTGGACGCCACGCCCGCGGCATAAGCCTTCGACCCCGACTCTTCGGGGGATGACCCTCTGTGGTCCGGGCTTGCGTACCCGGACGGTTCGGGGGTCGGGGTCCTGGTGCTCAAGGGCTGTCGGCTGGGGCTTCTGCTTCCTGGGCGAGCACGGCCATGTACGCCAAGGCCATGCACGGCACAGCTCCTGGGGTGAGGCAGGCGCAGAGCGTCCTGCGAACGGAGCCCACGGGCTTTCTGCAGGTCCTGCGCCGCCGATCGGCCCCGTTGAGAGTAGGCGTTCACAGTGCCACGGTGGTCCGCGGACATCGCCTCGGCGCTGCCTGGTGCCGCTAGGCTGCACGCCGGCTCCGCGCCGACCTCTGGCACATGATCTGGGATGCGATCGAAGATCCCTAGTCGGGGGAGGGCTCTGTGGGGGCGGTCAAAGTCGAGGCGCACTCCAGAAAGTCCGATGCTGAGCTGCTCGAGGGACTCGAACGGTGCGATTACTTGGGCAACCAGGCGGCCGACCTGCAGGCGAAGGAGGAAGCCCGTCTGTGCCCAGTCCCGCAGCATCTCACGGCCATCTGGGCCACGAGGACCGCTGAAGTCTCTGCTACGCTCGGGCTGGTAGGGTCCATTACCGCTACGGTCGGCACGCTCGACGACACCACGGGCCGCTCCAAGAATGCCGCCCTGTCCCCCAGTCCTCGTCCTCGTCGTGTCGAGCAGGCTGCTTTGCAGGGCCCCCGTCGGCATAAGCGGTCTAGAATCGCCCAGTACACGTTCTGCCAAGAATGCGGCTCATGTTTGAGCGCTCGCGCATGTGGTCTCCTCACGGCGTGTCCCAAGGACCCCCGGGATCACAATGCCAAGACCAGACGGACCAGTTTGTTAGATGGCATGCACCCTTATACGAAAGCGCGGCTGCCTGGAGATGTGATCGCGCTGTCTTGGCCTGGGGAGCTTGCTTTTTTTGAGGCGATCGGCATTCCAGCGGAGCCAGGGCCTTCCCCTGGCGCTGCTTTCAGCAGTTGACTTTTCAAGCCAGGTTGCCCTGGCACGCAGGTCGTCGCGAGGCACTCGAAGGCTGTGGTCGCGGGAAAACCTCCTCCTCCTCCTCTTCCTCTTCCTTCCCTCTCCTCCCTCGATCTCCTCCGCATCCTCCTCCCGCCTTCCCTTCTCCTTTCACCTTCCTCCTCCTCGTCCTCCTCCCTCCTCGTCTGCTCCTCTTCTTCCTTCCTCCTTCCTCCCTCCGCCTCCCTCCCCCTCTCCCTCCTACCTCCCTCCTTTCCCTCCTCTCTCCTGCCTCCTCTGTCCTCCCCCTCCTCAGCCGTTTTTCTCATAGGTAACTCCTCCCTGTCGCACCTCCAGACGTGTCGGTAGGGCGGGCCAGGCGATCCGCTTGTCTCACCACTTATGGTCCTGAGGCTTGAATTCGGCTTGTTGGGGTTTCTTTGGGGGCGTCTCGGGCCGTCTTCGGCCGCCCTTGGGCCGACTGGCGCCTTCGGAGGCCGTGTTGGGTGCCTCTCTGGGCCGTCTTGGTGCCTTCTTGGGACCTCCATGGCCCTCTTGGGCACCTCTTGGGCCGTCTTGGGGCCCACTTGGATCAGCTTGGGGCTGTCTTGGGGGCTTCTTAAGCTTCCTTGGGCCATCTCGGGCAGTCCTGGGGCCCTCCTGGGCGCGTCTTGGGCTGTCTTGGGCCATCTTGGAAGCATCTGGGGTCGCCTTGGAGCGCCTGAAGTCCGAGAAGTCGATAACGCTAAACTATGTCAACCACCTGATGGAAATCGTTGTCTTCTTTCTGCTGCAGGCCTTCTTGGGGGTCCTCTTGGAACCCTCGTAAGTCGTCATGAGGGCCTCTTGGGCCGACTTGGGGCCTCTCGGGTGGTGTTTAGGCTATATTGGGCCGCCTTGGAGCCATATTGAGCCATTTTGTGGCCTTCGGAGCAGTCTCGAGGCCTTCTTCGAATCTCAAGAAGCCACATTCATTGACCTTCCGTTGGTTTTTATTTTTTATTCACGGGAAGGGTTCGAAGAGGGCTGGCGGATGACCGCTCAATAACAAACGGGGTGAAGTTTGATTTTCAGTGGGACGAGCGTTTCGTGTCTGCCCGCTAGGAAATCACCACCCCATGTCGGATCCTAGATTAATGGCGGGGTCCGAAAACCCGTTCTTTCCATACGAAAGAAGGGTTCGGAGTGCTTTGCGCAGAAACCTTGTGAGGGGACTGTATATGAAATCGGCAATTCCAGCCCCTCGGCAAGTCCCGCCCGCCACCGTGCAATCCCAGCATTCTGGCTGGCGACTGTTCGCGGGGGCACGAGAGGCCGTCACCTGTGACACCTCGTGTCTCGAGGCTCCGGGGAGCCGTGATAAAGATGATGAGGATTATGAGGATGATGGTGGTGATGACGGTGATTATGATCGATGGTATCGTTGATGACCATGACGATGATTGATGATGGGGGTGACGATGACGATGCCGCCGATGCCGATGACGATGACGATGATGATGTCGATGTTGATAAGGAGGATGATGACGACGGTGTTGATGATTACGATGATGATGATGATGATGATGATGATGATGATGATGATGATGATGATGATGATTATGTTGATGGTGAAGCTGATGACCTGGTTCATAATCAAGATGATGGTTATGATGCTGACGGTGATGATGCTAATAACAACGATGCTGATGGCGATTATGATGATTATTTCTACTATCATCATGTTTACCATTATTATCACTACTACCGTTACTATCATCATCATCATCATCATCATCATCATCATCATCATCATCATCATCATCATCATCATTATTAGTCTTATTCTTTTCATAGCAATGCTGCTGATGATGCCGATGCTGATGACGATGATGACGATGACTATGATGATGACGTTGATGATACTGCCGATGACGGTGGCGGTGATGCTGCTGATGATGATACTGATGATGCTGATGCTGATTCTGAGGCTGCTGCTGATGATGATGATTGCAGTGTTGGTGACGGTGGTGATGATGATGCTGTTGCTGATGATGATGATGATGATGATGCTGATGATGATGAAGATGATGATAATGCTGGTGATGATAATGCTGGTGGTGATGATGATGATGATGATGATGATGATGATGCTGATGCTGATGCTGATGTCGGTGATAATGCATAACATGTGAAAGCAGTTGACGCGTTGCGTATCCTCACCAGCCCATCCATAAACGACTATCAGGAGGGTTCGGGTGACCTGGGACGGGTATGAGCAAGATCTGGGGGCAGATGTTATCGGTCGATAGGGAGGAGGATGGAGGAGTAAATGGAGGAGGCGGCGGACAACGATATAGACGGAGACGGAATCGGCAGATGACAAGCAAGAGGAGGATGATGTTGAGGATGATGCTGATGCTGATGATGATGATGATGATGATGATGATGATGCTGATGATGATGATGATGATGATGATGATGATGATGATGATGATGATGATGATGCTGATGCTGATGATGATGATGATGATGATGAGGAGGAGGAGGAGGAGGAGGAGGAGGAGGAGGAATAATAAGAGGAGGAGGAGGAAGACGAGGAGGCGGAGGAGGAGGAGGAGGAGGAGGAGGCGGACCAGCAGAATGCCAGAGGCCTCTTGGATGCCTAGGGGCTTCCTTGGAGGCCTCTTAGGCTGTCTTGGATGCCTCTCGGCGGTCTCGGGGGCCCCTTGGGGCGTCTTTGGTGTCGTCGAGGAGTGCCTCTACGGTTGGGTCCGTTTAGGCGCCTCTTGTGGGCCGCTTGGGGCTCTCTTGGGAGCCCTGGAAGCCCTCTTGAGGCCATCGATCAAAGAAGGGGGGGGCCCTTACTTTACGTGCTCCACCGGGAGCCTCTAGAATCGCCTCTTGAGGCCCTCTTTGAGCACTCTTGGAACGATCCTGGGCGCTCTTGGGGCCGTCTAGGGGCCCTCTTGGGCCTCTCTTGGTGCCATCGGTGGCCATCTTGGAGCCATCTTGGGGCTTCGGAATGCCATCGGGCGCGAAACTGCGAGAAAGCAACACACATTGATGCCCCCCCAGGTTCTGGATGGATTTTGGCTTCTTGGGGGCTTTCTCGGGTGTGCTCCGCGGCCTCTTGGGGCCGTCTTGAGGCGGTCTTGGAGCCTCTGGGGGCCTCTTGGAAACCATCTTGAGCAATCTTGGGCCACCTCAGCCACCTTGAGCCGTCTTGGAGGTCATCTTGGGTCTTCGATGCCCTCTTGGAGTCATCATAGGCCATCTTGGACGCTCCAATGGGTCGCGGGGCGCCCCGACCAGGTCCAGGGGATAGGGGGAGGGGTGAACCCCTCCCCGAAGGGGAAGACGGGAAGATGGAAGAGCCAACGCTTCAAACCACTCACGCCCAGGGGGCTGGTGGGATTTGAATGCTCATGCCGATGCTGTTGATGACGCTGATGATGATCGTATTGATGATGAGGATGATGGCGATATTGATAGGGGGCGACGGTGACGGGTGTCGATGATGATGATGCTGCTGATGCTGCTGCTGCTGATGATGCTGATGATGATGCTGATGATGACGATGATGATGATGATGATGATGATGATGATGATGATGATGATGATGATGATGATGATGATGATGATGATGATTATGGTGATGCTGATGATGCTGATGCTGATGGTGGCGATGATGATGCTGCTGCTGATGATGGCAATGCCAGCGTTGTCGATCGTGATGGTGATGATGCTGATGATGATGCTGAGGAGGATGAGGATGATGCTGCTGACGATTATGATGATGCTGATGGTGCTGATCATGCTGTTGCTGATGATGATGCTGAGGATGATGACGATGGTAACGACGACGCCGACGACGACGATTCTGATCATGATGATGATGATGACGGTGATAATGATGACGATGACGATGAGCACGATGTTGCTGAATATGGTGATGACGATGATGCTGATAGCGATGATGATGATGATGATGATGATGATGATGATGATGATGATGATGATGATGGTGGTGGTGGTGGTGGTGGTGGTGGTGATGATGAGGTTGATGATGCTGATGCTGATGCCAATGCAGATCAGGACGATGATGCTGATGCTGATTATGCTGATGATGCTGATGCTGCTGATGCTGAAGCTGCTGCTGCTGCTGATGATGATGATGATGATGCTGGTGATGCTGATAATGATGCTGCTGCTGATGATGAACATGCTGCTGCTGATGATGATACGGATGATGATGATGATGATGATGATGATGATGATGATGATGATGATGATGATGATGATGATGATGATGATGATGATGATGATGATGATGATGATGCTGATGATGATGATGCTGATGATGCTGGTGATGATGATGCTGATGTTGCTGCTGATGATGATGCTGATGATGAGGATGATGTTGATGCTGATGCTGCTGCTGCTGATGATGATGATGATGATGCTGCTGATCATGATGATGATGATGATGATGATGATGATGATGATGATGATGATGGTGATGATGATGATGATGATGATGATGATGCTGATGATAATGACGGTGTTTTTGATGGTGA